AAAAAAAAAAAAAACAGTTTAAGAAGAATGTGTGGGAAGAGTAAATCTAAACACTACTTCTTCCTGAACTCATGTCTTCATCTCAGATGAGTAAAGAGGTTTCCTTTAGCCATATTTTAACACTTCACACAGAAGCACTTTCCATTTCATTTGCCCAGTCTTGGCCCTCAATCTCCAGGTATCTTCAATTCTTATTTAATATATACTTGCTGGATATGCAATAGTGACTCCACTAAGGATTGCCTAAGTCACTTTTTTGCCTATACTCTCTTTAGCCAGAAATAAACAGTAACATATCAGTAGGAAAACAGAAGAAAGACTTTAAAAATTGGCTTAAATGCCAAACTACTTCTTTCTAATGTACCATTTAATTTCCTCTATTTTACCAAATTCCGTATTCAAGTCCTTAGAATTTAAAGGATTCAGGAAAATATACAGTGGTTTCCACTGCTCCACTTGCTACTGCCCCAGCTGTAGAGGCTTTAAAATATTCATCGGTACAAGACATATTCATTCATACAAGACATATGAACACTGCTATGTGTGGCCTAACACAACCCAGCAATTTATTCTTTCTGAGTTCTAGAGACCACAAGTCCCAAATCAGTATCAGAAAGCTGAAACCAAGGAATAGGCAAAACTGAGCCCCTCCAGAAGTTCTAGAAAGGAATCTATTCCTCTTCTATCTCTGTGGACTGCCAGCATTTCTTGACTTGTGGCCACATCATTCCCATCTCTTTCTCCAGTAGTCATACTTCCTGTTTTCTCCTCTTCTGTCTGTACCTTATCTCCCTGCCTCTTTAAGGCCCCCTTAGATAATCTATGACAGTGCCAATTAATGAATAGTGGAGTTTTAAAGTGGATCAGTCGCTGGGTGCTGGTGGCTGATGCCTGCAATCCTTGCTATTCAGGAGGCTGAGATCTGAGGATTGAGGCTTAAAGCCAGCCTGGTCAGGAAAGTCTGTGAGACTCTTGTCTCCAATTAACCACCAAGAAAATCAAACGTGGTGCTGTGGTTCAAAGTAATTCAAAGTAGTAGAGCCCTGAGCCAAAAGTATCAGAGACAGTGCACAGGCCCCAAGTTCAAGCACTATGATTGAAAAAAATAAATGAAGTAGATCACCCTAGTATATACTAGGTACTACTGACTGAGTCCTCACTGGGGGGGGGGGGAAGCAAAGTAGCATGGGCTTTACTGTACCTGGTATCATACAAACTGTTGTCAACTGCTCTTTTCTAGTTAGGGACTATAACATCTTTGTGACATAAAAACAATAGTCACCTACAACAAAAATAAATGCATTAGATGGATGCTGGAGGCTTTTACCTGTAATCCTAGCTACTCAGGATGCTAAGATCTGAGTGAGGATCACAGTTCAAAGCCAGTTTGGGCAGGAAAAGTCTTTAAGACTCTTATTTCCAATTAACCACCAAATAGCCAGAAGCGGAGTTGTGCAAGTGCAAGTTGCAAGTTTAGAAAAATAAAAGCTCTCTCCCCTTACCACCCTCCACACCAACAACAATAAAAGGCAACTAGAAATGACCACTTCTCTCATCATTAAAAGAGCTAGGTGCCTGTGGGTCACACCTGTATCCCTGGTTACTCAGGAGACTGAGATCTTAGGATCACAATTCGAAGTCAGGCTCAGCAATGAGGCATCCCCAATCAATCAAACCACCAAAAAGCACCAAAAAGTGGAGTGTGGCTCCAGTGGCAGAGAGTTCATGTTGAGTGAAAAAATCTCAGGGGCTCAGCACCCAGGCTGTGAGTTCAAGGCGCAGGGCGGACGTGGACAAAATAAAAATCTATCTGTCTGTCTATCTTGTCATCTCTCTATACGCAACCTTATAATCACTGCACTTGGGGGGGAGGGTGAACTCCCCCCCCAACCTCCCCAATCCCTTATGCCCAGAGACCTGTCCGTCTAGCTGGTCTCAGGGTGGCTTTTTTTTTCTTGAATTCGCTGCTAAAAGCAACAGTCCTCACTTCTTTCCCCTGACCTCCGAGCTGAGCCTGGTGCACAGGCCGGAAAGCTGGGCGTGGGACGGCCGGGGTGGCCGGTAGCACAGCACAGTCCTGGCCCAGCGTGGGACGGCCGGGGTGGCCGGCGGCACAGCACAGTCCTGGCCCAGTCCCCGCGGGAACCGGGGGCAGGTGACTGTCCCAGGCTGGACTCCCCCTCGGTGTTTGTCTCCTCTCTGTCCCCACCTTCCCAGGCAGGTTAGGCAGAAGAGCGGGTTCGGGTTGGGGGGCCCCCATGACACCCCACAAATCAAGTCATCGCACGGGCCCCCCCCCCGGAGGTCTCGAACTCTTCCCAGAACAGCCGCTGCCCACTCTGCAAAAGACGTCGTTGAATTGAGCATCTACCGTGTGCACCACAAGGCTATGGAAGGTTCCAGAAATGAACACCTCCGTGGAGAACGACTCGCCCCGGTCCCCCAGGCCGCGTCCTGCCCCTGTACCTGCTACCAACACCTCATCCTAAGAGACCGGCCACATCTCCGCGGGGGCAGCGGCCGCACCTGTGCGACCCGGGGACCGACGGGCTCCCCACTGCGCCCCGAAGCCCCGCGGCGG